GTAGTAGAAGAGTTTGCAGCAATCGTTGAGTAGTATTGCTTCTGTTGTTGGTGTGATAATCCAAGATATGTATGGTGACTTGTAGGTTTGAGGAGGAGATTTCTAAGTTTGCTCTTGAGTTTGATAGCAAACTGAGTGCAACGAATGTCAGTATGACACTTAACGCTACTATCAAGGAAATCGACGGCTCCTCTGCTAAGCATGGTCAAAGAACCGGCAAGGAAGAAGTTGATTTGTATGATTGCCTCCACAGCTGCCCTACCCGAGATTTAGCTCTCTCAATCCATTCCGTCTTGTCTTCCCAAGTCTTCTCCATGTACGCCCACTTGAAAGAAGGGTTTAAGACTGTGGCTGCTGAATAGACTGGAGAGTCTTCTGTCAATTTAGTAGTCGGCCAGTTTGGCCCAAGCAGTCTCCATCATCATAGCCAAGTGGGGGATGGTGGTGGCCTCCCTGGCAGCAGTAAATGGAGGCGGAAGCAGTGAATAACATTCCGTCTCATACCAATGTAGGCAATTACACACGCGCATCCATAGACCTGGCTCTCTCTCTCAGCCTGCTTAGAAAAAGTATAAAAGGGGCGACCCATCACGCCATAAACCATCTTCTCAACCCTTCCACAACTCTAATTCCAATTCCAACAACCAACAACTCAACCCAAACCAAAACCCCTGTAATGGTGGGTGCACCAGATGTGAGAATCTAGCCACCCAAGGAAGGGATGATTTTACTAAGACAACACACTGTCTTAGGAAAAAGAGCCAAAGGGTCGTAGCTTAGACTATTCCACAACGCAGCAATCAGGTGTGTGATGTAGTGAAGTGGTTTAGACAAGTTGCAACAAATGTTGAGTCTGGGAACTCAGGGGTAAGTCAGAGGTTAACACCTCACTGACTTTTCAGAAACAAGGAGTAACAAGATGAATGCTTGGAAGCTTGGAAAAGACGTGGAAGTATGTGATAGTCGATTTACTGTATTGTCTGCTTGCCCTTTCTTAAGGAAAGGGCAATCCTATTTATGCTAAAGGAATGTAGTTCTCTCATTTTCCAAGACTTTCCATGACTTACCAGGCTTGGTAACTGTAGTCGACATAAGAGAATCCCATAGAACCATCTCTTAGGTTCGTAGCCTATAGGAAGTAAAAGGAGGTCCAAGGTCAGAGTACCCCTATAGACAAATTATGTCATAGACAAATTATGTCATAACTTAACCAATCTTGTGGGTAACTAAAGAGCGATGACATGTGATGAATCATAGAGGTTTGTAGGAGCTTTTAGAGCTATCGTTCATGCTCCTAGGCCTCTAGTTGGTAGAGATATGTCATGTGGTAGTATGAGTGATGTCATGTAATGAATCATAGAGGGTTGTAGAGATATGCTATGTGGTAATATCGGCCCAGTAACTAAGGAGCGATGATGTGTAATGAATCATAGATGGTTGTAGCAATTGTTGAGTAGTATTGCTCTTGTTGTTGGTGTGATAAGCCAAAATATGTATAGTGACTTGTAGGTTTGAGGAGGAGATTTCCAAGTTTGCTCTTGAGTTTGATAGCAAACTGAGTGCAACGAATGTCAGTATGACAACCCCCCCTTCAAAAACATCGCTGTCACTGCCCCAGCTTCCGAGCTCTAGGAACGTGCCATGCTCGAGGCGCACACCTACCCCAAGAACGTCCTCTGCTCGGGTGGCAAGTGTTACACTGTTACCTGCTTTCCTGGCCCGGGGCTGAACAATTGCTCTAAAAGCCTACTGGTGGCAGCTGCTAGATTCTGGTGAGTGGTTTGGTGCTGTTTAATTTCAATGCTGGCGTTTGGGGGGCTAAGGGAGCGAGGGGTTGACAGGGCGAGGGGTTAGCAAGAACTATGTCAGAGCAAACCCGCATCAGGCTCAAGATTATTCGGTAATGGCGGATTTCGGTAAAGATGTAGCAGATGTTTAGGTCAGGCATGTCAACAGTGTAGTGCGAAACTCGCACTGCACTGATAGTGTAAACGGTGCAGTCAGTGTAGTATTTTAGCCTCATTACGAGCCTTGAAAGTGTGGTAACTTGGGGAAAATCGCAGTAGAATTACATGATGTCCAACTCTAGCTGTTCTATGCTACGATCCACATTCTCAGATCCAATTTTCTGAAGCGTCCAGGACTTGATACACTCGAGTGCTTGTACTGTGTGTGCTCGGTCCTCATTGATTGTATTTGAGGCTCTTGAAAACAGCCTCTCAGGCTCATCACTCATTGCTGGTATTGACAAAACATCGATTGCCCAACGAGACAAATTGGGATATGCCTCTTGTTGTGAGGCATCTTTCCACCAATTGATTGGCCGCTGTTTACTCTTCTGGCTAAGCCGAGGAGTCAAGCAATACATCTCATACTCGTCACATTCTTCATCCTGAGGGTTGTTCTGCTGCCGGAATTTTGAGACCTCTGACTGGCCATCTTCATAGACTCTTTGAGGCTCTAAAAGATCCTCAAAAATGTTTGAACTACTGTAATAAGACTTCCAGAACGCCAACATGTCATTTTTAGCTTGATTACCAATCAGGCCATTGCTTTGTAAAGTACACCCATTTGATCTGAGGATTAAGAACAATTAAAGCAATATAAGCCTCACTTGCCTCTGTCATATTGTAGTACTTGTTGAGCTTATTCCATGCGTCATTAGCCATAGATTTAATTGCATCTGAATATTTGATTTCTGTTTTTTACTCTGTAATGTCTTCGAAAAGCTTAAGCAAAAAATCCATGGTCATAATAACCTTGCCAAGAGAGCCAAACGAGCCTTCTACATCAAGTGTAGTTTGTTCTAGGATTTTGAGAATCCCAAATACTTCTTCAAGATGAGACCACTCATCAGTAGTCAAAGTATCATCCCAAAGCTCGTCCTTGTGCTCTTGTTATGATATCAAGTGCGCCTTGCAGCTCGAGTAGGGGTTCAGGGGTGCGGGGAGCTTTCCGGGGTTGGAGCGAAGTTTTCAGTTGTGGAGTGAATTCTCAGAACTGGTCTCGCTAAAGAGAATTCACTCCACAACAACATAGCTGTATATAGATCGAGCCACTGATCGAGTGCTCCTCTTCTCTTTCCTTTCTTCTCTAGATTGAGTTTAATTCATAATACCCAACTGGCGCCCTATGCCTTGGTGAACCGTGACAGCTCTGAGCAAAACATCCGAATTGCAGGCTGAACACCAGGACGTAGAGCGCAGCCAATCATATGAGACCATGAGTTCCAATGAGTTGAGTTGTCCTGTTCAAGCCTTTTGCCTTGGCTATACTCTCTAAATTCAGCAATTCGTTGTGGCAACCGTTGTACAAAAACAACAATGTTGTGAAGCTTTCCAAGAGCTCCATTTGTGCACCAATTGAATGGTTCAAGCAGTGTTGGATTAGGTGAGACGTCGTGCTTAGTATCACCAAAAAGGAAGGCTTGAACTGTGAGATTGATGATGTGACCCATACAACGAAGTCTATGGTGCTTGCTATCGTAATCAATTTGGTACTCGTTCTTGAGATCTAGATATGTAATTAGATTTGATTTAATTGGTCTAATAATCTTAAATGAACGTACTTTGTGACAAATGCTTCATAAGGGTATCATTATTTGAAGCGTTATCAAGCATTATATAGCCAATCTTGTTAATAATATCAAACTCAACAAGAGCATTTGTCACATATGTTGCCTGGTTCTCACCAGTATGTGGGCCTATAAGCTCACGGAAAACTAATACAGGGTGTCATACTGACATTCGTTGCACTCAGTTTGCTATCAAACTCAAGAGCAAACTTAGAAATCTCCTCCTCAAACCTACAAGTCACTATACATATTTTGGCTTGTCACACCAACAACAAGAGCAATACTACTCAACGATTGCTACAACCCTCTATGATTCATTACACATCATTGCTCCTTAGTTACTGCGCCGATATGACCACATAGCATATCTCTACAACCCTCTATGATTCATTACATGACATCACTCCTTAGTTACTGGGCTAATACTACACATGACATATCTCTATCAACTAGAGGCCTAGGAACATGAACGATAGCTCCAAAAGCTTCTACAGCCATCTATGATTCATTACACGTCATCGCTCCTTAGTTACCCACAAGATTGGTTAAGTTATCACATAATTTGTCTATAGGGGTACTCTGACATTGGACCTCCTTTCACTTCCTATAGGCTAGGGACCTAGGAGATGGTTCTATGGGATTCTCTTACGTCGACTACAGTTACCAAGCCTGGTTAGTCATGGAAAGTCTTGGAAAATGAGAGAACTACACTCCTTTAGCATAAATAGGATTGCTCTTTCCTTAAGAAAGGGCAAGCAGACAATACAGTAAATCGACTATCACATACTTCCACATCTTTTCCAAGCTTCCAAGCATTGATCTTGTTAGTCCTTGTTTCTGAAAAGTCAGTGAGGTGCTAACCTCTGACTTATCCCTTATCCCTGAGTTCTCAGACTCAACATTTGTTACAACTTGTCTAAACCACTCCACTACATCATACACCTGATTGCTGCATTGAGGAATAGTCTAAGCTACGGCCCTTTGGCTCTTTTTCCTAAGACAGTGTGTTGTCTTAGTAAAATCATCCCTTCCTTGGGTGGCTAGATTCTCACATCTGGTGCACCCACCATTACACAGGGGCCTTTTGTTGATTGTATTGATGGAAGTAATGAGCAATAATGCCAATATAAGGAACGCCTTCCCCAGTCCAAATACCAATTGATAGATGGATTTTTTGCATGATGATGGCAAGTTCGTCTTGAAGATCTGTATGTCGAGTTTGATATTGTTGAAGGGACCAGTTTTTGACAGTATTTCGAGTAGGAAGGCAGCTTTCAACATGGCAATTTAGATACTTTAAAAGAGCCTTGAATTGAGGCGATTCGCACTTTTTGAAAGCAATTGAATCAACAGCAATCCACTCAATAAGAAGCTCTTCAAATACTGCTGATTTAAAGACTTGATCATATCCATTATCAGTTATCACTCATTTCCGTTTGTAGGGATTGATAGCAGCTCTGGCAAATGCAGCTTCAATCCTGCCTTTGACAACCTCATGCTGTTGGACCTTTGTATTCCTCTTGTTATGCGCCTTTGTAAGGTGTGCTGCTATTGATCGAGTGCCTCCTGAATGCTTGTAGCTCACTAAGCAGTGTAGGCATCGCCAATACAGCTCGCCGTTAACCAACAAGACTGCATCTGGACCACCTTCCATATGCTGCCAAACCCATGAAGTCCTTGACCGCTGCTTTGATAGAGTGCTTCTTGCTGTAGATTCGGTAGATGTGAGGGTTTCAGAGACCCCACTGATCGATTGCGTATCCTCTGACATTTTTTTGTATGATTTGGGTATGTTTTCGTTGAGGTACCACGGTTCTCATAATAGGCAAAAGGGGATGCATATGCACCGGCTGAGCGGGGTAAGGGGGAATGGTGGTGGTGGTGGGTTTGCTAGAGTCGAGTTCGGGTGTGAAGACTTGGGGGGGGGTGGGTTGTTCAGATGCGGAAATATCTTCATTTTTCACAGGGGTAGCACAGACTAGAGCACAGACCAACTAGTGCGACCGCACTATCAGTGCGCACTGCACGCACTAAACTGTTGACATGCCTGGTTTCGGTTTAGGGCCTTTGGGTCTTTAGTTTGGGGTAGATAGTCATTCGTTTAAAAACTTACTAGGAAATATATATATAACGTACATGTATAACGTACATGTATAGCGAAAGCGCCAAACAAGCGAAAGCGCCAAAATTATCTACCCTCATGACAAACATTGCGATAAATCTACCACAACATTAGAAATCAATTGAAACTACTCGGAGTCCTCTTCCTCAGAGGTGTCTATTACAATCTGACACGTGCGCGCATTGTGCCCAGTCTCACCACACTTGCCACAGCGACGGGCACGGGTTTCTTCCCTTGGCTTCCGACCACGGCTTGCCCTTATTTCCTGCTCTACCTGCTGCACAACATCCCTCTCATCCTGTAGCTCTTGCGCCCCTTGTTGACTAAGTGATCCTCCTTGCTGTAGTCGTGTTTTCCTAGCTCTCCGGCGCTTGCTTAGTACTTCATTTGCCTGTCGTAGGTTTTGGTTCTCTCCCTTTAGCAGTGCTAATTGATGCATTATTTGCGATGCACCCTTTGTAAACTGGTCAACAGCTGCATAGATTGAGGTTGGAGAGCTATTTTGATGGCGTGAAATCCGAGTTTTAATAAATGTAGACTGTGACATAGCTTCAATTGGGTTGTTTGGTGTCTGAGAAACCCAAGGTTGAGCAGTACCTGGGCGGGAGCTTGGAGGCGTTGGTGTCCTTAACTTAAGATCAAGTGTAGATATCACTCTCTCAGGGTCAAATGGAAGAAGCCCTGCCCCTCGGAACCCGCCTCGAATGTTACTTTCCGTCATTGTAGTGTTAAATGCAGCGTGGAAGGCAGGAAAGAAGTCATCCTTTGTAATATGAGAAATATGAGCCTGCATCATATCTTCAATTTGCCGACCATAGGCCTGCTTTAACGGGCCGAAACAGCCAACATCAAGTGGCTGGAGTAGATGAGAAGAGTGAGCAGGCATACAAAGCGTAATAATGTTGTGTTCCTTGCAGTACTCCTCAAACTCATCTGAGTGGTGGCTCTCATGACCATCAAGGACTAACAAGCGATAACCACCAACACTCCGGGCCTTTGTATGCTTCTCAAAGTGCTGAATCCAATCCATGCCTCTCTCGTTTGTAGTCCAGCCATTTTCAGTAACAGAAATCACCCAATCGCTTGAAAATCCACTATTCTCATACCAAGATGTAAGGTGGTTTTTGCCTGCAACAATGATAAATGGTGGTACTGCCCAACCTTGAGAACTAACGCCTTGGATTACTGTAACCCATTCCCGATTACCAGGCTGTACCTTCTTTGCTTTTGCCCGCCCGTCTGAGCTTGTTACAACCATAGCAGTTGAGATAACGCCCATCATAAACCCAGTCTCATCAAAGTTGTAGATATCTGCTTCATCGATACCATATTTCGCAATTGTGTTACGCACAAGCTCAAACCAGCCATTAATAACTTCTGGATCTTCGCACTTAGCCCTCTGGTAGTCGTATTTGCGCTGAAAGCGTGTCTGGAGCTCTACACGCCGCTTAACAAAGTTTGAAGCCCAACGCGACCCAACGCGTGACGCGTCGCGTGTTGCAAGTAGTCGACTTGCCATATCTTCAACAACAGACAGCCGAGGAGGAAACCCTTTGGCAGCTAGGTCGAGTATATACTGAACAAGGACGGACTCCTCTAGGTTAGTTAATTTCCGTGAGTTGGCTTGGATATCGCGTCGTGAAGGTACACCTTCTAGACGACGACCTAGCTTGCGGTGGTCCACAGAATAGATCCTAGCAGCAACTCGAAGGCGTAACTTTGGGTCGCTTTGCATAGCCTGGATAGCTAGCACTAATTGGCTTTCATCGTTTTTATGGGGCATGTTTTGTTGTTGAGGAATTTAACATTTAGTTGGGGGGTTTGGTCACCGCATCATTTTGGCGCTTTCGCTTGTTTGGCGCTTTCGCTATACATGTACGTTATATATATATATTTAGTGGTTTTTCGTTGATATCTTTGTTGTTTGAAAATGAGAACTAATATTAAAGTTGACAGAAATTATTAGTAACTTAACTTATTGTAGTTTTCCCTTTCTCCCTTTCTTCATTTCTCCATTTCTCCATTTCTCCATTTCTCGAGCTTCACCTCTTCCAATGTTAGCCACACTAGATCGAGTGCGCATTTTAGCTGCTTTATTAGAATAGCAATAGCAATAGCAATAGCAATATTACACTCTCGATTATACCCTATTTAACGATGTATCGGCTACGGAGTAGAAAGGTGAAAAGGGAAGCTTCTGTCGCTGTTTTAAGCTCGCTTACCCACTTTTCAATATTCCCCCCGCCCCAACTAAATCGCCGCACGCCTATTTGTGCCTTAGGTACCACTCCTGCCAACTCGTTCGACCTAGACCATCAGGGTAATTGCTTGGTCGTAGGCACAATTGAAGATTCCCACTAGCCATCCATGAGAATGCGAGAGCCTCGTAGTGTTCTAGACAATTTGGTGACGGGACTATATGGAATATCTCCATCTTCGCCTATGAACAACCTCTTTAAAATACGGCAATCACGTAATGTGACAGAAATAGTCGCCTAACCCACATTTGCCACTTTCGGAGAATAACAGACAAAGAAGACGTTCAGCGATTTGTTAAAAGATTATCACACCGTTACCTATTCTCTTTTATCAACAGGATGTCATGGTAAGACTTGATGTCCAGTTACCCCTATCAACTTCGCTAGTTAAAGATTGGCGGGGGCTGTGCAAATTCTTAGTCGCTTCATCCTTACTATGAGGCTTTTATTGCTGGTTGTGCCCTTTCCGTAAGCTATCTCCTCACCCATCAAGCACCGCTGAGCTGGAAATGCTAAAAACCAGAAAGCATTAGAAGACATGAAATCCCGCATATGCTAAAATCCCTCATGTTAGGAACTGTGCCCCATTATCAAAACGAGGTTGGTAGATGAAGCGCCAAAGACTTCAGCTCAAAAGGTGACTATCACTGAAAAGCACTAGTATATGGTAGGTCAAATCTAAATCACGCATATCGATGGATGATAGGAGGCAAAAAGGTAGAATTCAATTTTCAGTTTTATTTAATGGGAGTAGATTCCTTGGACCGGCCAGTACATACCTTTCACCAGCGAGTGCGCCCTGTACTCCCATCGTATTTGTGTCTAACCTTCCACCCATCCCCCTTTTACATTCATCCCATATCGTGCGCCGAAGTTTCGAGTCAAAAGCGCAAGTCAACATGGCGGATCCTCTAGAAAAAGAAGTGCCTCGCATTCAATGGAACGCAGATGATATCGAATTGGCCTCGAGGCCTCGCGCGCTTCATCGCTCAAACTCGCAATTCTCGATTCACAGCAGCCACAGCCGCCGGGGATCAATCGATCCTTCACACGCACTCCCTATTCAATACCGAGCCGTGTAGGTTGCGGCAATATACTATTACTGGCCGATTGCTGACGCTGTACAGGTCTTTTCAAATCGACGAGAGTATTGATCAAGACCTCTTAAAGGCCAAGAAGCATAAAAAGTCTGCCGCCAAAGGTATTACAGCGAGATACGAGCGACTGCCCAGAAACTAACAATATTGTAGAACTTGAGAACCTTGATTGGCATATAGTATCTCCCGAAGAAATATTCGAGCGTCTTTCGACCTCGAAGACTCGAGGTCTTTCCGCAGAGCAGGCAAAGAAGAACATATCCGAGTACGGCAAAAATGTTCCCTCTCGCCCACCGACACATTATACAAAGCAAGTTTTTGGATACTTTTTTAAGGGATTTGGAGGCGTCCTCCTCGTCGGAGGTATTCTCGTCTTGGTATCTTGGAAACCGCTCGGAGAACCGGCACCGGCTATTGCTAACCTAGCACTCGCCATTGTCCTTTTTGCTGTCTTTGTTATCCAGGCTGCATTTAACGCGTGGCAAGATTGGTCTTCGTCGCGTGTCATGGCATCAATCACTACTATGCTTCCCGATCACTGCATCATATTGCGGGGCGGCACCCAAGCTACAGTATTTGCTAGCGATATAGTCCCTGGAGACATTCTGTATATCAAGGCCGGCAACAAACTTCCCGCTGATGTGCGATTCATCGAAATTTCTTCGGATGCCAAGTTTGATAGGTCTATTCTGACTGGTGCGTCTAATAGCGGTACAAAAAGATACAGCAGCTGACATGTACATGTAGGTGAATCTGCACCTCTTCCGGGAACGGTTGACAGCACCGATCCAAATTTCCTCGAGACCCGATGCATTGGACTACAGGGCACTCATTGCATAGCAGGGAGTGGTCTCGGTGTAGTTGTTAGCACAGGCGACAAGACAGTCTTTGGTCGGATTGCAAAGCTAACCAACGAACCTTCGACCGGTATGACACCTTTAGAGAAGGAAGTTCTCAACTTTGTCTTTGTCATTATCTCCATCATGGTGGCGATGATAGTTCTTTTCATTATTGTCTGGTTAGTTTTCGCAAATCTACGATGGTAATCCTCGACTAACTTTATAAGGGCTGCATATCTTCGTAAAAACCACCCTGGTTGGATCTCAGTGCCTGCGCTCATCGTAAGCTGCGTCAGTGTCGCCATTGCCTTTATCCCCGAAGGGTTGCCAATCGCAGTCACTGCCAGTCTAACAATCACTGCCAACATCATGCGAAAAAACAAGATCTTATGCAAGTCCCTCAAGACTGTGGAAACCCTAGGCTCAGTTTCTGTAATATGTTCAGATAAGACTGGTACTTTGACAAAGGTAAGTTCTATATTTAACGCGATATCATAATGAAACTAACAGGCTCTGTAGAACAAAATGTACGTCACCGAAGCTGCCATTGGTGCCTTTGACATGAGTGCCGAGGGTAGCCGTGATGAAATGATCCGTCAGAAAAATGCAGACCGCCAAAACTCCGTCTCTCAATTGCGGACCATTGCTGGGTTGTGCAACTCCGGAAACTTCGATGCAGCTACGTACCACTTGCCTCTTCACGACCGGAAAATACATGGGGATGCCACTGATCAGGCTATACTTCGCTTTTCAGAGTCACTTGGGCCAGTTACAGAGGCACGAGAATCGTGGGTTAAGTCTTTTGAGCTCGCTTTCAATAGCAAGAACAAGTATATGATTAGGACCTTTACTCTAGCTGATAGGGCCGGTTTGGATCTAGCTCTATCACTCACGCAGGCGAATGAATTCCGACAGAATGACACGTAAGTTTATCGGTGTCTTGAATACAGCAAATGCTAACCTTATAAGCCTCCTGACGATTAAAGGAGCTCCAGATGTCCTCATTGGTAGATGCTCCATGTTCGTAGACCGAGATGGTGTTAGCAAACCCCTAGATGAAGCCACCCGCTTTAGCATATCTTGCATCAAGGACCGCTGGTCTTCTCAGGGCAAACGTGTAATCTTACTCGGTCGCAAAACCCTACGTCATGAGCAAATTCAATCAACTCCTGCTGATGCTAAGTTTGAAGACGAGATAATAGAGCAATCCAGGACTGGCTTGACCTTTGTTGGGATTGTTGGCATAGTCGATCCTCCTCGCGACGAGATACCCTCGGTAGTGGGCATTCTCAGACAAGCTGGTATTCGCATATTTATGGTAAGCGTTATATACAAAGAATCTAGTAAGCAAGGTTCTAATGCTTTATTCAGGTCACTGGGGACTTTGCGTTGACTGCACAAGCTATTGCTGCCGAATGCGGCATCATTACCAACCTGCCAGGCGCAGTAAATACTGTCGCCGTACTAACTCGCGATGAAGTGTCCGCACCCTTATCTATTGACAAATCACCTGACCTGACCCCCCAACCTGTAACTTCAATCGTCGTCAGCGGCCCAGAGCTGATCACTCTCAACGAATGCCAATGGGACCAACTCTGTCGATATGACGAGATCGTGTTCGCTCGCACCACTCCCGAGCAGAAACTCCGCATCGTGCGGGAATTCCAAAGCCGTGATGAAATCGTTGGTATGACTGGTGATGGAGTCAACGACGCCCCTTCCCTCAAAGCAGCCGACATCGGAATCGCACTCGGCAGCGGATCAGACATAGCAATCGAGGCTGCGGACATGGTTTTGCTAGAATCCTTTTCGGCTATCGTTCATGCAGTACGGTACGGTCGCGTCGTTTTTGATAACCTCAAGAAGACAATCGCCTACCTACTCCCCGCGGGATCCTTTTCCGAGTTCTGGCCCGTCTTTGGCAATGTCATCTTCGGCCTCCCGCAAATCTTGTCTTCGTTCTTGATGATTATCATCTGCTGCTTCACAGACTGTGCTGCAGCGATTGTTCTTGCGTACGAGGCACCAGAGGCCGACGTCCTCCGCCGCCGCCCACGCAAGCGCGTGGACCGTCTCGTCAACTGGCAGCTCATGCTGCAATCCTATGCATTCATCGGTGTCCTCGAATCGATCGCCTCCTTTGCCATGGCTTTCTGGTATCTCGAGCGCCAAGGGATCCCCTTCTCTGTTTTCTGGTTCCAGTATGGCGCAATCCCTGACAACCTCGATGCTGATTTCGTCGCCTCGAAACTCGCCATCGGATCTTCGATCTACTTCGTAAATCTCGTTGTAATGCAGTGGTTTAACCTGCTCGGAGTACGCACACGCAGGCTCAGCATCTTTCAGCATCCGCCTCTATTTAGGAAGGAAACTAGGAATTGGCTCCTGTTCCCAGCGATGGGCTTTGCACTTGTGATGGTATTTTTCTGGTTATATGTCCCCCAGTTTCAGCGCGTGCTAGGCACTGCCGAAGTGCCAGTGGAGTATTTCTTCCTTCCCGGTGCTTTTGGATTGGCCATTTTGTTGTTAGAAGAAGGAAGGAAATACTGCATAAGGGCGTGGCCAAAGAGTGTTTTAGGGCGATGTGCTTGGTAAGTTGGTTGCTGGCAATCTACCTAATCGTGTTCGCACCGACCACCTGTAAGGTGGTCGGCGAAAGCGAAGTGCATCCGGAAAGCGAAATTGCATCCAGCCAGCCAGATATCATTAGTATGTAGAATCTCAGGGTTTAGCACAAATAATCATAATAATCATGACTAACGTGGTTTATCAGTACCTCGCGCATATCAGTACCTCGCGCACTTTCCCCCTATTTACCTACTTATAAATCTAATAAGCTAGACATATCTATATCTGCTTGTTTAGAAGTCAGCGTTACAAATTCTTAATAGCTATACAAAACGTGTTTTACCTATTAAAAAAACAACATAATCGTGTTATAAGAGTCTAATATAGAAACAATTCTAATCTACATTCATTCGTTATTATGACATATCTATTTTTAAAACTATTTTATTACTATTTCCTTAAGATTTCTATTATTAGTTTCGTTTATAGGTAAAATTTGGTGGTCATTGAGCTTGCTTAAGAGACCTATTATAGTGATGCATTACGGAGTTAGTGTAGAAAGATTGTAGGGCAAAAACTCCATATACCCAGTAAAACAATAAATAAATTCTATATACCCAGTTCCATCCCACGTGACCCGCCCAAGCCCAATCTAGAAACTCCCCCCGTTCTCATATGAGAACGGGTCAATTATGAGGCCTGCGGCAAGTCCTGGCATTATGCCCAGGCTCGCCGCAGGTGCCGCAGCGTGTGCGGACCAAGTCCGGCACAGCGGCAATGACTGCCCCAAGCGGCAGAAGTCCTCCGTGATCCCGGCGAGCCCGGCGTCTTCGAGGACGCCGGGCATCCTCCCTCCGAACCCTCTCTTTTCGCGGTCGGCTGCGGGGGATTCCATTGCTCATCGTCGGGGCTGGCTCGGACATGCCAGGCACAGCCCTCCTCGGGACAAACGGCGGTTGCCCCATCTTTGTCCCTCCTCTGGAGCCGCCAGGAGAACTTCTCCTTGACGGCCCAGTCGTCCAGGGCGCGGGACCAAGCGTCCAAGTCGAGGAACTCGCTACCGTCGACAGGGGCAGCGAGTTCGGCTAGCGAGGCCATCGTAGGAGGCAGGGGCGGGGGAGGCAGGGGAGTTTGTGCCTTGCGCGAGAGCTTCCGAGGGGGGTTTCGAGGGGGTCGGAGGAGGGAGGGAGCCTGGGAGGTGTCAGCGGGGTTCGGTGGAGGGGAGGAAGGGAAGGGGGAGGAGGTTTGGGGGTCTCAATTGACCCCCGACTTCCCATGCAATTGAGCTGGTATATTGCCAGCTCAATTGCTTCAAAAAGGCCATATGAGAGCACCTACTCTCAAATGAGAGTACGCCTCTCATTGGCTCGTTAACCTTCCAAAGGAGGGTTAGCGGTTGACTGGGTAGATGGAGTTTTCTTACCAGTTTACTGGGTATATCGAGTTTTTGCCCAAGATTGTATTACATAGGCAACTAATCCTGGACTTCTTTAGCGACCTATTCTGCTGTCCACATCCCCATAAAATATTTGCTTAGCACCCTATCAAAGTCTGCCACAATAGTGTAAAAAGATGGGCCTCCGCCGGTAAGGTACTCCGTAGTTTACTATATTATAGTATCTTATACTATCCCTAAAACTAGCTACTCTCTACAGTACGGCGCCATAAGTATGCATACAGGTCTGTGCTTCTCCTATACAAAAAGACACTCGTTTACTGCAATTTAAGCACAGACCTGTATTCTGTATTCATACTTATGGCGCCGTACTGTACTGTTATGTTACTTTAATCTGTGCGGTGTACGTAGGGAAGGGAAATATATCCCTCAAAACACATGTGTGCGACCCATCGTAGCTGCAGTTAGCCGGTAACAGGTACGGTACCTTTTCTCTCTAATGGGCCAGCTCAACTCTATCGTTTTCTCTCCGTTTGCCCTCGTTTCTTCTCTCATTAACTCTTCTCTTCCTCTTCTAACAAACATCAATAGTCCTATATCTTCAATTGCTTCATCATTCCCTTTTTCACTTCCCTGTTTACACCCCGCCTTCTTGCGGATTGTTCCTTGTCCATCCCGCCAGGCCTCGGCGTCTCTTAGTCGCGCTTAGCGCCCTTCAATATGTCGTCATAGTGGTCAGATTCTCATAAATTGTCAGTCCACAAACCACTGCCCTAATTCCAGTTACGCTTAGCCTGACCCAATCGATCCCAGCCGCCCACGCGAGCCCAACATTCCCACGATTTAATCCCCATTCTGTTATTCTTATATATAATTTTGATGCCCAGTTACAACCCTCAACGACGAGAAAAATACCGTTCGTCACTGCAATGAACCAAGACTCCAAGACTCTTACAACAGAACTATACCTATACATCTCAGAACGACGGTGCCATTGGATATATCATCACCACCACTTTTCATTCGCCACCAGCGCCCGGAGACGGTCGAGAATTCAATGTGTACCGACGCCTGGTCAAGAACGTCAAGAAGAACACAGACCAGCATTATAAGAAGAAGAAGAAGAGGGATCTCGACCTGACTCTCACGTAGAGCCTCTTTGACAATGCCACACGCAATTCCTCACGAGGCGTGCGCCTATAATGACCCCGCACTCCTCGCACCCGCCACACCCGACTTGGCCCTCACAACCAAGTCACCAGCCGCCACCACCACCTCCTCCACTTCCACATCTCCCTCCTCCTCACCCGCCCTCACATCCTTCCACCTCTTCCCCCACCTCTACCCCGAGCTCCGCCTCAAAATCTGGCACATGGCCCTCGACCTCGGCCGCCGTGTCGTAACAATCCACTACGAGCCCTCCACGCACTCCTTCCACACGCCCACCCCAACCCCCTCCCTCCTCCACACCAACCGCGAAAGCCGCCACGAAGCCCAGCGCGCCTACCCCCTCCTCTTCGGCACCGCCTCCGCCCCCTCCCACATCCCCTTCCACCCCGCACACGACACCCTCTACTTCCCCCGCCGCAGCACCATGGGGTACGACGACTCGCTCCGCGATTTCGGGGCGTTCATGGCTACCCCCGAGGACCTGACGCGCGTGCGCGTCGTGGCGCTCGACTCGGTTGATTCGACGGAGAAGAGGCCGTGGGAGGCCTACGACAAGGCGGTGTTCGTGAAGTCGTTCCCGCGACTCGAGAATGTGGTGTTGGTCCGCGGCCCGAAACGCGCGTGGCTGAGTAATATTCCGCGCGCGATGGGACCGGAGGTGGAGGGGAGGGAGGTGGAGTTTGTGGCGGTGGAAGGGGAGGAGGGGGGAAGAGTTGTGAAGAGGTTTGAGGCCACGTTTTTTGGGGAGGAGGAGGCGTTGGCGAGGATTCATTGTGAGAGGAGGGAGGATTATGTTACAGCAAGATTGCCGCCTGTGTTGGTGGTTTCGAAGAGGAGAGTTGAGAGGGAGTGAGGAGAATGAGGAGGATGAGAGGGATTGTGCTATTTTTCGACAGCGAGCATGTTTTACTTTGGGAGCATGTTTTGATTTATTATTTATGGGGGATTTTGTAGCGTGATGGATGGGGTGTACAGCATATATGAGCGGCGATAGTAGACGAGATACCCGACCTAAGCGTCAGCGAGTCAATTCAGCACCTGATCTAGCATATTTTCAGTATGCCGCTATGATGCTGTATTGATTTCTGTACATCGGAGCTTAAGTCGACAAGCTATAATATGTCGTTTGGATGGCATTTTTGTATTTATCGAGCAATGGCTGTGGCCTTATATTTAGACCAGTTATAATATGTTTATAACTCCAATCATGCTTCTCGCTATCACTTTGTGCCATGATTTCTCAGACAGCCATGATGTAACTGTATATCTACCCCATGAGTAGTCCATAAACAGGGAGAAGTCCACGATCACCTCTCCATCCATAACCTCACGCACCCAAACCACCCCCTCACTTCCCCTCCACCCCCCTTCTCCTCCTCCACTCCCCCACCCCCCTCTCAAACTCCCCCCCATCCAACCCATCCGGCACCCACCACATCGTCACCCCCAACTCCTCCACCTCCCTATTCCTCTTCTCATCGTCAAAAAACAGCATCTCCCCAAACTCCACCCCCGTCGTCTCCCTCAGCCGCGCAAAATGCTTCTTCTTACTCCCAGGATAAATCTCCATGTGCCCGAAAAACTCTATCGCCTTCCGAGCCTTCCCACCTCCCGCCCCCCTTTCTTTTCCTAGCGCCTTTTCCCTGGCCTTCTCCTTCTCCCGAGCTTTTTTTGATGTTGAACCGGCTGAGGACGCGTCGTCCCCTGCCTCCAATGGTGGCGGGGCCGGCACATCAAACCACGGAATCTGCAACATCCTCAACAAATCCCTCGCCACCTCCGGCGCGCTCGTCCGACTCGCCGCCGCCACCTTAACCCTCGGATGCGCATCCAGCGCCGCCAAAAGCGCCGGCACGTGCGGGTAGAAACTGAATTCCTCGCCGTGCTTGTCGCGCGCTGCGTGTGTGTAGGGGGGTGTGGTGGAGGAGGAGAGGGGCTTCAGGGGGGGGAGGCGTGGGTGTCCACCCAGAAGGGCCAGAGGGTGTAGTCGAGGTCGAAGACTATGAGGGTGGGGAGGGGGAGGGAGGAGGTTAGGGAGGGGGGAGGGAGGGGGGAAGGAGGGGGTTTGGGGGATGGTGGGGGTGGGGGGGATTTGGGCATTGTTGATGGAGAGGGGTGTGGTGATGATGAGGTGTTCGGTTTAATGGTTTGCGTGTGATGAGGGGTGTTTTTGTTGATGTTGGAGTGTTGTGTTGGTGGTGGAGGTTGATGGAGGTGTAGTTTTGTTGGCGATAAGATATATGATAGGGCTCTTTGTTGGACAGGCTGCGTACAGATGAGACAATATATCTGTATTCTTCGCAATTGATAGAATACCAGTGAGATATTATGCCCTCTGGATGTTGACGGTAATTCGTTGTTGGCCCCGTATGTAAATCGCCATGTTGTCGTCCACAATCACGTGCCAACCCTCAAGGGTATATATAGTGTCCTTTACGGCTGCTCTCATCAATAATCTCCTTCCATCCTAAGATGGTGGAATGGTGTAATGGTAGCACGTGACGTTGTGGTATAATGCTCACCCGTTGTAACATACAATCCCGTTTCAATCTGGGTTCGATTCCCAGTTCCGCCAGGAGATTGAAAACGTAGGTGGTTTGATTCCACCACACTTATTAATTTTTGGCTTTTTTTTGGCTTTTTTTGTATTTTCTTTTTGTTCCCATTAGGGTATTTAGCCGAGTGACAACCGAGCGGGAACAACTTGACAACACGTGACGATTCACCTGCTTTTTCCTTCGCCGCGGCAATTACCCCGCAGCCTCGGGAATACTGAATTGGAGTCGGCGCGCCTTAACTGTTATTTAGAGCTCCTGAGCTTATTCCGATGCATCTCCACCTTTTATATCCTTCATTGACTGCCCTTCAAATCGTTTAGTACTTTTGCAATTCTTGAGATACCAGATACCCGAGCTGTGACTTCTTTTAATTCTTCTATTAAATACCACGCGTCGTCTCTCTCTCTCACCAAAACCCCTGTTTATCACAATCCCCCCAAAATGTCCAACTCCACAGTCGCTGTTCCCTACGCCGAGCCCCCGTGGTTGAACAGCCTCCCGAGCGCCTACTACAATGATTCTCACCGCAAATGGCAGAAGACGGTGCGCGCATTCGTCGACCGTGTTATGCTCCCATATGCGGGAGACTGGGAGGCCGCTGGTGATGCGCCACGTAAGCACCAATTGCTCCAAATTCATTGGAGACCCGCTAATGAAAGACAGCAACACTCTACAAAACCTTCGCGGACAACAACATGTTGATCCCCAACCTGTCTGCGCCGCTACCGATTGAGGCGCTCAAGAGCGTTGGCATCCACGAGCTCCCCGGTGGTCTCAAGGTGGAGGACTACGACTACCTACACACCTCAATCTACATCGACGAGGTAAGCCCCCCTTATTCCCCCTTCATGTCCTGTCTAACTCCTTTAGCTCGCTCGATGTGGAACTGGCGGCCCGGCGGGATCCATCACTGTTGGATTCGCCTTCGGTCTCCCCCCCATCATCAAGTTCGGCAACAAGCAGCTGCGCGACCGCTTCGTCGCGCCCCTCGTCACCGGCAAGATCCGCATCTGTATCGCCATCACCGAGCCCGGAGCAGGATCCGACGTCGCCAACATCGAGACCACCGCTGTGAAGTCTGCGGACGGAAAGCACTACATCGTTAACGGTGCCAAGAAGTGGTATGCCGACCTCTCCCCCACCCCTGTCATTTTAAATAGTAGCTAAGTACACCCCAGGATCACCAACGGCATCTTCTCCGACTACGCCTCCATGGCCGTCCGCACCGGCGGCCCCGGCGCCGCCGGCCTCTCCCTCCTCGTCGTCCCCCTCAAAGCCAAGGGCGTCAACATGACCCGCATCCACGTCGGCGGCGGCAAAGCCGCCGGAACCACCTACATCGACCTCGATGACGTCAAGGTCCCCGTCGAGAACCTCATCGGCACAGAGGGCATGGGCATGATCTACATCATGCAGAACTTCAACCACGAGCGCCTCACCATCGCCATCGCCGTCAACCGCCAATCCCGCGTCGCCCTCAGCGCTGCATTCGAGTACTGTCTCAAGCGCGAGGCGTTCGGGAAGTGCCTCATGGACCAACCTGTCGTTAGGCATCGCCTTGCCAAGGCCGGCGCTGTACTCGAGAGCCACTACGCTTGGGTTGAGAACATCGTCTTCCAGATGACCAAGCTCAGCCAGGCGGATGCGAACCGCGAGTTGGGTGGACTGACGGCGCTCGCTAAGGCGCAGTCGGGTCTTGTGTTGGAGCAGTGCGCGTCTACGGCTGTGCTGCTGTTTGGGGGGAATGGATATACACAGTCGGGACAGGGAGCGAATGTTGAGCGCATCTACAGGGAGATTCCGGGTATTAGGATTCCGGGTGGTTCGGAAGATGTCCTGCTTGATCTGTCGGTGAGGCAGATGGTTAAGAACTTCCAGAAGAAGTTGAAGGATTTGGATGCTGCGAATGCGAAGCTTTGAGTGGGTGGAGTGAGGAGAGCCCTGGGATAGCGGGTGTTTCTATGAAGTGTATGATCTGGTACATATTGTCCTATTTAGACTTTCTCACATACAAAAAGAACATATTATATTTATCTTCAAGACTTAGTTTTTCTTAAGCCGAAGTGACCGTGCAAGGCGACCTAACCTCGAACGGAACCCAGCCACAGCCGCCGCAGACCCCTTGTCCCCACACTGCTGCTCGTCCGCTGCCCCCTTATCCACAGCACGAATGAGGTCATGAAGAGCCTTGACAATATTATACCCCTCCTTAGCAGACGTCTCAACGAAACTACACCTGAAGCTCTTCGCAAGCTCAATGCCTTCTTTGACTGTCACCTCTCGGCCACTGTTCAAATCTGATTTATTCCCCACCAAAACAATCTGGATCGGCCTCGCTTTCTTGCTCTCCCTTGCACCTCCTACCACCTCATCAACCTCCCCGTCCTCCCCCACCGCAGCCGGCACACCCAGCTCTCCCGCGACTTAATCGAGTACACCAGCAGCGCAGTATCTGCATGGGATCTGGTGTTCCCAGCCCGCGCGCAGGTAATCCTCCATCTCGGCGTCGGAAGGGGTGATTGTATCTGAGACATCGAGGAAGGCGACGCGGTTGTCGAGGACGATTTGTTTCCTGTAGTTGGTCCAGATTAGGCCGTCGTAGTCTTCGACGAAGGTGTTTAGGATGAACTTGATGGGGTTAGTTTGGGACTGTGATGTGGGGGGAGGTGGGGAGATGCGCTGATACGTACTTGGTCGATTATTTTTGTTTTGCCAACTCCTTTTTCGCCGACTACTAGGATTTTATATACTTTGGGACTGGTCCTCATGTTTAACCCTGCCATCTTGCCTTGCTTTTGGTGAGATTAAATGAGGGTGCCGTACTGCTACGCTGGATTCTTTCGGCCTGGAGTGAGTGAAATTGTCACTCAAGCCATTCATATTTTATCCTTCAAACTCTATGACGAAAATTATTTCCGCACGCATTGCTCATAATCGAATCAGCTGGCATAATGCCACCGCCCAGCCTCGACAATCTAGTCGTGAATGCCATGGCTACTGCCACCTCCAAAGTCGCACCCAGTGATCTCGCCTCCAATATCGCCCACAGCCGCGATGTTAACTTCCCAGACGTATTGGCCACCGCAAACATGCTTTCCCTAATGGAAATCGCCAGCGCCCGAATCCTCACGCCTCACCTCTCGGGCACACAGACATGCTTGAAAATGGAGCGGATCCTAAAAGCGAGAATGTACGCTGGGACACGCCGATTAAGCTTGCAGTACGGATTAGGAATGAGCGTATGGTGAAGGCTTTGCTTGAGAAGGGCGTCGATCTTCCCTGGGGCATGGAAGGTGCACAGCAGTAGAATGGTTGAAAGGACACCCGGTCACTGGTCTATCACCTCGTGCTCGCGCCTGAGTCCGCCAATGCTGGTCTCTGGGGGGCTGGAACAGACGCCAAAGGAGAAATGGTCCAGCAGGGTCCCGAGGTCGGAATTGACTTGAAAACGAGGTTGTCAAAGTCAGAGTACAATAAAAGAGCATGGACTATACAAGACCTCACCCTGTCCCGAAGAACCCTCATCTTCGTCGATAATCGTCTCTTCTTCCGTTGCCAGAAGGCCAAATGTCGACAGTGGGCAATCTGCCTAGGCGGCAAATCGAGGAAACCGCGGTTCTGTATGCACGCCATGCGCTCCGTTAATAGCCAGGCCGAGTCCATCCGGTTTATACAGAGGATAAATTGGGGACCACCCTTCTCCTTTATCTTGTCCGAAGAAACCTGTTGGTTGCTTCGGACAACACCCTGGTAAAAGAGCTTAGCAGATTGCAAGGAATGTCCAACCTCGAGTTTATGAAAGATATCAGATTACTGGGCAGAGATTGGCCGTCGCCCTGCGCCCAACGCCGCCGTATCAGGACACATAGAAGCACGTGGAGGAAGGAATCATCGAGTCACGAGTTGGGAAGGAATAATGGTACTTGTGTCGCGAGATCGCAATGAACCCCAGGACACCCCACTGCCCGAACCACCGTGATCCCAAACCCACATCTAAAAACCTCAGCCGTGGGATCTGCTCTGGGTTATGCATGTGGAGTGGAGGGATGGGGTTGGAGGGGGCGCTGGAGGGGGCGCTGGGAAGGGTGGAGGTGAAGTTGGTTGTTCTTGGGGTGAGGTTTTAGGGTCGAGGAGTGCGGGGTGGGTTTCTGAGGGGGGGATGTGGTGGTTTGGAAATTGTACGGGGGCTTGATATGATGGGATTTATGGTAGTGGTTTTAGATCTTAGTAACTGGCATAACTTACTAATTTTCGCTGTTAGTGATTGAAACCGTTTAGTTGTGCTATAGAATTTATGTTGGTAAAATTTATTCCTCAGTAACTAACTAGCATACTGATCATAGCCGTCAGTGATCGAAACCCTTTTGTTGTGCCACAGTCGCTCTGATAGTGCCTGTTATCTACAGACACTGTTGTAACTTATACAATTTGGTTCCCAGCTTCCTTTCCCCCTATTCACAGCTAAAGTATAAAACTACCCGCAAATTCCATCCCAATGCCCAAAACGCCATGCGAATAAGTCATGCTAACTCCACCATGCAACCTATAGCTTTCCAATCCCCCTTAATCGCAGATAGACATCCTATTAAAATTGTTAGCAAAACTCATCCGATGTAAAAAAAAGCGAAAACCTACACATCCCCACCCATACAAGCTCTGCACCGCAATCTCACCCCCAAAATACTCCGCATAAGTCCTACTAAGCGGTAATCCATATCCCAGTCCCGCAATACTGCTGTTCACCCCTCCCCCCGCCGCAATCGCATTCAGCGCATCCATTCCACTCCGCTCCGTCCCCGTCGATCCGGCGGGGATATCATCCCCAACCTCAAACGTCGTAAAACTATACGACCACACGCTCGGCATAACAGCGGGGCTAATTCCCCCACCCTCATCACGGATCCTGATCGTCACCCCTGGCGGGCCCGCCGCGAGCGGCAACGCCGCAAGTTGGTTATCGAGCATGGTGTCCGTGGCGTCGTCATCATCAGGCGGCTCAGCAGCGATGGTGATGATGACCGGGCGCGCCGAGTTACCTGACTCGACGGTGGCGCGGAACGCGTTCTTGAGGAGCTCGGTGACGATGTACTCGAGATGTACAGGCACGTAGGTGAACTTTGTTTCCGGAACCCCGTCAATAATCCACGTCGGGCGCACGCCGTACTTGAGCTCGCAGATCTCGGACACAAAGTGTCCGCACGCATTAATTATCGACGCGGGTTTTAGCTCCGTGTCAATTACGCCGATGTAGCTCTCTGGGCCTGGCGGTCCCGCATGCGCCTGGGACCAGTGGTGTAATGCGATGTGCTGCTCAGCCACGAGTCGCGTGCCGATGCGCGTTTTCAGATGCTCGTCCAAGAAGCGTGTCACCTCACCCGGACTGATATAGCGGCGGCATTCCAGAAAGCCGCGTGCGAGAGTGGGGATGGTGTCGCGGTGGGTATCGACGAGATCTGCGAGGACGGCCGTGAATTTCACTTCGTCGGCGAGGGAGGAGATGTGCGTGTCTGTGTAGGGGAGGAGCGTGGAGAGGGAGTGCTGGTAGTTTGCGTAGATGCGCGAGATGTTGGGGTTGGAGACGGCGATGTAGGGGAGGTTGCGCAGGGCTTGGATGCGGTGCGCGAGGCGGATGGGGAGGAGGGACAGGGTGAAGTTGGCGGAGGCGAGGAGGGCTTCGGTGGACAGGGGGGGACGGCCATGCCTGGGTACGGGTTAGTAAAGAAGGAGAAAGGGGAACTGAGGTAACATGAGGGGCATGGAGAAGTTATGGAAGCTGTACCTGACTAGATCTGCTAGACTGAAGCTATGTAATGGCTTGCTGGCGAGGCTCCTGATGGGGTCGTCGGCCGTGACTGGGAAGCCTGGGAGACGGACCCGCGGGCCCTGGTGTTTCGTAAAGTGCCTTGCAGTCTGCAAAAGCCGCGTTGAAGCTTTCATGGTATCTTCATCGTAAGCATTGACGATGCTTGGGAGTTGGAGATGTTGAAGTCGGAGAAGATGGGGGGAGCTCTGGTAGAGTCACTGGAAGGTCCGACCTCGCTTTGTCGGCTGGCGGGTAGTTATCGGGGCGATAAGAGATTGTCCGACGGCGATGACGTGTGACGAGGCACGGGATGTAATTGCGGGGTAAACAGTAGTTTTATATAGTTAAGAGGATGAAGAAGCAATAAGGGGATAAAAAGGAAGCAATAGAGGGGTTTAGGGCGTGGCGATGGACGTAATATTGGATATAAACAGGTATTCTGCAAGGGAATATCAACACGCCCTATACAGTACAGTGCAGGCAGTCAGCACAGCACGGTGCAGTTTATGGTGTCGCATGTCTGGCATGTGATGAGCGGTGCGTTCTGTGCTGTGTTGTGATGAAGCCACGGCGTCTCGATTAGGCAATGCCACCACGTCTCACAGTTATCCCAGTTCATGTCTCATATACACACACATTCACGGCATCAGTTGCGAGGTAAGGGAGGTAATTCATCGATTATCCGTCAGCCCACACGCTTAATCATTGACGCTCAACCATAATCCGTATGCTATGCGCGTATACCATTACCCCTCTACTGGGTCTTCACCTCTCCGTCCGCCTCGACGGCCTCGACATGCTCATTGGCATCCAGAGTGTGCACTGTGCCCTCGTCGAAAGTGACCCTGCGTAGAATCTGTCAGCCCTTATCCCAACCACTAGCCCACCAGAAACTAGATAGGAAGCCCCAAGGAGAACTCACGAGAAGCCCTTGAACACCGAGTTGTACTCATGCCCGATCTTTCCACCTTGCTTGACGGCGTCCTGCTTTGCGCTGAAGGGGTTGTCAGATGCTGTTTTTATGGGTGTTGTGTGTGATTATGGGGTGAGAGGGACTCACGCAGCGACTTGCTCGTCGGTGGAGTCGGATTTGAGGGTGACCTGAGAGAGGAGGGGTTAACTGTCTGTGAGAGATGGGGGGGTTGACGGTGGGCCCTCACGATGTATCCAGGCATGATGATTGATGAGAGTGTAATGTTTGAAGTGTAGATAGGTCTGTTTTGTATGGTCGATTTGTGTCTTGAAGGTGTAATTATGATGAGAGACTGGATGGAATGGAAGAATAGAATCAGAGATGGAGAGGGAGAGGGAGAGGGTGAGGGAGAGGGTGAGGGTGCGAGTATAACCAACCACCTTGGCCTTGATTGTTGGCTGGCGCGTGTGGAGACCCTGGACGGATACCACCAGCATGCGTCATCGTCAGCGTCATCGCCCTCCACGCCATATTATAAGTTAGGGAACAACACAATCAGTCAGTCCAATCAACCCAATCAATCACCAGCCTCATCTGTCACTTACTCCATCTCAACTCCATCTAGCTCCATATAACTCGAGCAAACCAAGCAAACCCTTGGCACACGACGATGTGCATCTGGGAATACCATCATCTGGGAATACCATCATCTGGGAATACCATCATCTGGGAATACCATCACTCTGATATTCCATACTCGATTCCATTTTAACCCACTATTTATATTTACAAGCACCCCCCCCCCTTCTATTTCGCGTACTTGCCCCTCTTCCCCCCTCCCCCCTCATCCCCACCCCTCCGCTTCTTCCCCTCCCTCTTCCAATACTCCTGCTTCTCCCTCTTCTCCCTCTCCCCCCTCTTCTCCTCATTCTCCGCAACCTTCTTCCTATACTCCACGCGCTTCTTCTCATTCGCCACCCGCCTCTTCGCCACCTTCTCCTTCCGCAGCGTCATAAGCTGCTGCATCAGATTCCTCGCCTTCTTCTCCTCCCCACCCACAACCACAGCCCGCTTCTGCATATACGTCTCCTCCTTCCCCTTCTTCATCCGCGTGATCTGGCTCTTGAATGGCAGCTCAGCTGCAAGCTGGCGCGGCACTCGCAGCGGGTTGAACACACGCGCCACGCGCTCGACGGGCTTGTACTGGCTATTATTCTGCTGCGGCGTCGGGAGCGCCTCATCACGTCGCACTTGGCCTGTCAGACGCATAGGCGCCCATCCGAGGAGGTTCGTCACGGGGTTGTAGAAGCGGTGAGGTCGCACGGGGAACCAGGCGCGGAGGAACACAATGTCGGACATTAAGATCTTGTCCTCGAACGTCGCGCGGAAGTGACCCTCGGGCTTGGCGAGCGCGCGCTTGATCTGTCCACGCACTCCTGACACGGTCTTGATCGACGCGCCCTCGAACTTGGCAATCTCGAGAGACGTGCTGAACATATCCTTTATGAACGAGGTGTTCTTGAAGATCTTGTACGGCACACCCGTCAGCTTGAGCTTCTTGACAATCTCCGTTGACTCGTCCACATTCAGCACCGTCCCCGTCGCCGCGATCCTGAACCCAGGCGTCTTCGCACTAAACGACTGGAAGCACGAGAAGCCCGTGTTCGGCGCAATCAGCGGCCCATAGAACGTTCCGAAGCAATGCATATGCTCGGGCGTGTACTTGAGCATGCGGTTACGGATCCGCGAGTCCGAGATCGAGTACACAGGCAGCGTCTGGAAGCGCCTCCACCCGAGCGAGAAGATCAGCGGGTCGTTAGTCTTGAGGATCTTCTTGTGCCATCTGTGTCGCTTAATTCGCACCTGCACGAACCCGAAGCGGTCCTCGGTCGCGTTGATACCGCCCGCGATGATAGGCATGCGCGGCTCAAAGCGCGTCACGAACTCGGATGGAACGCCCTCAATGACTATCTTGGCGTACTGCCCGGCGCGGAAGCCTTCGACGTTGACGCGCGAGCGGTCGTCGAGGCTCTCGAACTCGGATTTGTTGATGTTGAGCTGCTTCTGGATGACGGCTTTCTGTGCGTCGTACCAGTCGTCCTCGCCGAACTCTTCGTCCCCGCCGCCTTCTCTACGTGCGATGGCTTTGTCGTTGTTGAAACCCTCTCGATCTTCCTCCTCGAACCGAAGTTTTAACTCTTCTTTCCGTCGGGCGTTCTTTTCGCGCTCGGCCTCGATGTCGTTCGGTTCATCGTCTTCCTTGTCTCCCTCTTCCTCATCGTCCGCCTCGAGATCTTCGAATTCTCCATCACCTTCATTATCCGAATCCTCCTCATCTTCATCTTCGTCACTGTCATCGTCGGAGCTGCCACCCTTCTTATCCTTGAGTAAATCTGCGGTGGCAAATCTCCTCCTCAGCGCGTCGATGTTGTCTGCAACAGACCACTTCTCCTCCAGCTGCTCGTAATCGAACACAGGAACCATGCGATCTTCGGCAAGTCCGCCATCCTTCCCAGGAGAAGTCTTCTTGATGAAATCATCGTCATCAGAATCATCCTCGATATTCTCCTCCTCAATCTCGCCTCTCCAGCGGTTCAGCACCTCGGTCGGAGTAAGCGACTCGTCGTACATCAAACGCGCCAAATCAGCAGTCCTGTACGATCGCTTCTGGCCATGAATCTTCATGGCATTCGCAATCATGTTCTTCTTCCATTGTGCACCCTCCTCCTCAGAATCATATTCATCGTCCTTGTCGCTTTCCCCCCCAGTAAGGAGAGATCCCATGTCAGAATCGCTGTCGGCAAAGGCGATGTCTCCACCAGCCTTATCCTCCTTCTCCTTCCTGAACGCCTTGCCGAGTCTCTCCTCGCTGATCTCGGCTTCGCCCTCGGGGTCAAGCTCTTCGTCCCCACTGTCAAAGTCTTCCTCAGCGCCGTCCTCCGCATCTGAATCGCCTTCTGTGTCGACGAAACGAGCCTTTCTAGGCTGTTTCCGCCCGGTATCCTCTTCCTCGACGTCTTGGATCGTCTCTCCATTGCTGAAAAGGCGAACACCATCGTCAGTCTGTCCGAGGAGCCTTCGCTCTCCTTGCAGACCGACGATTAATCCCTCTCCTTGACCGCGCTCTGTATCCTCATCGTCCTTGTCGAAATTGAAGCCCTTCTCGCGCGTAATCCAGATAGTGTCTCCCTCAATTTTCAAGCCACTCTTGTCAGACATCGGCGCATGTAGTCTCTTCTCCTTCTCATCCAGACGTCTCCTTCCCGTCCTCCCAGTAGCCTTTGCCAATGCCTGGTCCATATATGGAGTCGGGCATGGATCTGGAAGCGATTCCATGGACGAAATTGTGTAGTCGCCCAATCCGGGGATGTGTACTCGTTGTCCTTGCGCTGCGAAATTCGTACCTCTAAGGTAACCTGATAGAACGACAGTCCTGTCACATTTCTCGTCCTCCTCGATCTTCATTGGGTGGGTAATGTCGCGGAAGCTGTCGATGACGGTGTAGGGATGCGCGTTTCTCCAGATCAGAGGTCGGGGGTTCTTCATGACGGAAAGGAATCTAGAAAGGTTGTGGATCTCGCGGTCAGGATAGCGCCCGTTGATGACACCGGAGAGGTAGAATAGATGTGCTCCCTGGTACAGCTCACTCCAAAATCGGTTCTTGAGGCGTTTCTTCGCATCCTTCAATGTCTGAGGCTTCTTGAACATGTCCAAATGCGTGAGAATACCGAAGACGTTTCCGGGCATACCGCTGGCGGAGAGGATGTTCAAAAACTCCATGGTCTCCATCTCGAATCCGAAGTTTCCGTCGATCATGAGCAGTACAATGTCCGCCACCTTGGACATGTCCACCATGGCTTCCAGCTCGTTGGGACATTCTACAAATGTAAGGCGTTGGCGCTTCGACGTGATGACGGTAATTGGTCCCTGTGGTTCCGATAGAGTTTCCTTCGCATATCTCTTAACCAGCGACTTGAGAAGGGTCGTCTTTCCTACGCCGGGTGGTCCAACGATGGCGACGAGGCGTGGCGGCGGCTCATCTGGGATGCGGTCCACTAATGGCACATGGAGTCTTCTTTCTTTCACCTGGCGCATAATTAGAACCTGGATGCAATAATAGTTCAATCAGTCGTTGGCTGTATACTTACATCCGAAGAGCGCGCAGACGTCTTCGCAAGACGGCCTGGGTTCGCAAAAGCAAAAGCCTTTGGATTGCGATCTGATAATGCGTTAATACATAATCAATGTTAAAAAATAACAATAACTCACCTCCAGTATGCTTCTTCTTCTCCTTTTGCGGCCTATGGGGCCTATTCGTTTGGTCCTCCATGGTTGTGCAACAGTCTCAGAAACACCCTTCGAGGCTCATCTCCATTTTCCCAAATATTCTTCTGCTGCCTCGAATCTTTTTGCGCTAAGAAATCTTATCGATAAGAGCTTTTTGGAGGGTTTCACATCACGTGATTCAGAATTAAAAAATCGCAGCGATTTTACTCCTTGGCAATGCTTAACGCTATGGCCCAGGATGGCATCGAGTTTACTCCGATTCACGCCGTTGCTTGGATCCTACCTGTAATTACGATTTTTTTCTCCGGTCTCTAGCGCATTATATTCTAGATTATGCGGTTGTAGATTTAGACCTGTTTCCCCCCCTTCTTTTATTATCATCTGCAGCCGGGAGACCCTGAAGTCGGCATGACGAGAGTCCGTTCTGGTGGTAGCCTCGCGGCTGCGCTGCTGTCCCTTGCGCATCGCGGGGCCTTAAACATACCAAGAATCCCAGGTGCTCGCCGTATAGGAGCTGCTCCTGCATGCTTGCAATGCAGACAACAGTCCCACAGGTTTAACCATGGTGGTTCTCCCCGAATTACCCCATCACGGGCGAGGGGCATCTGCCAAATACGGCCGGCAGTCTTCATCGCGGGCCAGAGGAGAAGCTTATCCTCCAACCCAGGTAGGGATTTATTCCTTTGCAAACCGAGAATACTATACTGATTCCCGCTTGCAGACCCAAATCCAGAAGACCACGGCCCCTTGGCAGAATACGACGACCGAGTACAGTCTGGACGGTTACGAGACGACGATCACCAAAAGGGCATTATCCAAAGTTTGCAGCATCTCCATGACGAGCTGAGGAATTATAAAGCGCCGCCGGTTATTCACCCAACTATCGAATCTCTTCAACCCCCGCCTCCAAAAAGTCTCATGAGTCGCATGTTTGGCAAGAAAGAGGAGGAGAAGCCGAAGCAAGAGATTACGCCCGATCTCCCGCGAGGACTATACCTGTACGGCGACGTCGGCAGTGGGAAGACCATGCTGATGGATCTGTTTTATGATACTCTCCCCATGGGCGTGGCCTCGAAGACGCGGATTCACTTTCACAACTTCATGCAGGATGTGCACAA